ACAAGATATTAATTACTAAAAATTGCCGAATTAATCTTGAATAATTTCTTACTCAAATACTATCAACTTTACAGAAAAAAGCAAGAAACAAAAATTGTTTATTTTCTTCTCTAGAGCTAAAAATTTCTCTAAAAATTTTTTCAAAATTTTTAATCAATTTCTTAGTACTGCATTTTTTTATTGACATTTATTTTTATCAAAATGAGAAAATATGGTATTAAAAAATTCTGAACAAATTCCCAGAACTTTATGAGAAGAATACAATTCTTGTTTCTTGCTGTTTTTTTATAAAGTTAATGGCATTTGAGAAAAAATTATTGAAAATTAATATTCGGCAATTTTTGTAATTAATATTTTGTCAACTATTGCGGAAATTGCAAAATAGGAAACTCTTCGACTCAATTTAGTTCGCTCTATCTACACATAAGCGCTTTCTCAAAACTTAATAGATATAAGATGTTTCAACCGTTCAAACCGTTTTTCCGCTGCAATATTTTCTAAATTCATCTTTTTATGTAATATAAGTATACAAAGTTTTTTTTTTTAATGTGGTTTCCTCAGTAAGCCTATTCCCCAAAAAGAAGAATCGAAAAGAAGAATCAAAATTATATATCGTATAATTTTGCTTTCTTGCCAAGCCACATTCGAGTATTTGATTTTTCTTTTTGTGGAATAGGCCTACTGGGGAAACTATATTAAAAAAAAAAAACGCATCTTACAATAGTACCTCACGAGTGATGTAGAAAACTATTGTCAAAATGTATTAGGTGTTGGAATTAATTCGTAGCGTTTTACAAGTGATGGGAAGTACTTTCATTAATGTATTTTTTAATGCTCATGTGAAATAAATAACATTCTTTCATTAAAAAACGCTACGAATTAATTCCAACACCTAATACATTATCATAATTATGTAATGTATTAGAAAACTACGTTAAGATATAAGTATATCACTAAAGAACAATAAATAAATTAATAATAGAAAATTTTATGTTAATAGAAATATATTAAATTTTAATGTTTGAAGGTGGCTCAAAAATACAAAATATAAATAATAGGGAGCTACAACGATAGATGTTAAGACGAAAGTCATATATTAAAATTATCATATAAAAACGTAAATATTTCGATCAAGATTTGATCATCATCAATACATCAAGATAATAAATAAAGAAATACAAAAAATTAATTAATTAAGCAAAAATTGCTAGTCAAAAAGATGATAAAAAAAGTATCATGATGACAAATAGAAAAAATACATAAAATTAAAACAATGATCGCTAGTCAATAAGATGATAAAAGAATTTTTCAATCGCTTATGGTATGAGTTAATCGAGTAAGATGAAGTATAAAAAAATAACAATAAAATATAACAAACACAAAGAAAATAATTTATTTAAATTAGATGAAAGTATTTTATTAGAAAAGAGGTTAATACCTATTCTTAAAAATATAAAATTTTTTTTTTGCAAATAATTCGAATACCATTTTGATAAAAAAAAGGGCTCAAAGAACTTACTCAATTTGTAGCTGATCATCCTGATTTGTTAATTACTAGAGCGGATAAGGGCAATACTATTGTAATATTAAATTTGAAGGATTACAATGATAAAATGTACGAAATATTGTCTGATAAAAATACTTATATGATGGTAAAAAAAGATCCTACTAGCAAATTGACGACGGAAATGCGTACACTTTTGACACGTTGGGGAGAACTAAAGGGTATATCGATCAATCCATGTATAAAAAATTGTATATATCGGATGGAGATCTATCAAAATCTTATGGATTCCCTGCATGAGGATGTTCCATATCCTTTAAGGTTACCCTTTAAGAATGATTGTCAGTTGCATAAATAGTCCCTTCTTCAATTCGGTCACTTTTCTAAAAGACATTATTAACAAAAGCATTAAAAAAAAATTTAGTTATATTAAAAATAGTTTCGATCTTGTTAAAAAAATTAATAGTATGCCATTACAAAAAAATTATTAAATTGTATCATTTGACATCACTTCTATGTATTCAAATATTCCTAACGATTTAGCTTTAAAAAGTGTCTTTGAAAGATGGGGTTTGATATGCAACAACACCGTTCCACGAGTTTAAAATAACTATTTTAATTATTCTATTTTTTTTTAATTTAATGATAAAAAATTAACATTATGTCATGACTTATTTCGAGATATAATTAAATTAACTTAAAATTAATATAATTAACAAACGTTTTGGCTTACAAAGTCTTCAGTGCTACAACGCAGAGATACAATCTTAAATTAACGAATAAAGAATAATGGATACAATGAAAATTTAAAAAAACCATAAATGATGAAGTGTCATAGTGTAAAAAAAATATATAAGAGAATATCATATAAATTCAGACAATGGTTTTCCTCATATTCAATAGTGAATTTAAGTCTATCATGCTGTTTATTAAATGAATTTAAAATTTGAGTGACCTTATCTTTAGGTGCAATCATAAAGACATCGTCAATATATCTAAAATATGCGTTTGGGATTTCTTACTCATCAGTCTCCGATCAAACACAATCTCTAGACCTCATATCTTTTCCTGTCATCGATCCCGCTATCCAGGAAATCCTGAACTATTCCCTTCCTCCTCTCGAAGAACGATTCCCTCTCCCTCCTCTCTTAAACCAACTTCTCCGTATCAACCAGATCCCGTACCGATTGGCTGGGATCGGCTAGTTAGTCTGTATTCTTCCCCCTTCAATGAAGGAGATAGTATAGTTACAGTCTACATCCTATGCAACCCCACCTCCTTACACCGTCCTATACACCTCATCCCGATATGCTCCTGCACTTTCCTCGTCTCCAATGCCCCCAATAACCTTTTCCTCTTCTCACAAACACACACACACACGCACGCACGCACGCACGCACGCACACCAAAAGGATGGTCTCCGAGATGATACTTATCAAACGACAAGAAAAAGGTTTAAACAAACAGAGTGACACAGAACGCTTTCCTGAAATCTATCAATCATAGAAAAAAGCCTCTCTATCTACATATAGATTTACCCTCTCCACTATCATTCCCTTTCCTTTCCTTTCACAATATATAAATACTGTCGCGAGCTATGGTCTTCCAAAATTTTTGTCAGCAGTGATTCTTATCATTTGTTCTGTTTTTTTTTCAAATTATTCTGTTTTTTAAATTGTGTTACTTATTCCGAGTTACATTTGCGAGGACTTGCGTCAAAAAATACGTAGTAAGCAAGTGTTAATGTGAATTTATATTGATTTAAATGTGAATAATTATTGTATTGCTTAAAATTTCAATTATTAAATAGCACTTTCTTTTCTTTTAATTTTAAATAGAATTCCGTATTTTCATACGATGTTACTCTTTTCTTCCTTTAAAAAGGAATCATAAATGGGACAGATTATTTCAGAAGCGTTAAAATTTTTCATTTTCTGAACTTCATCTTACTCGATTAATTCGTATCATAAGCAATTGGAAAATTCTTTTACCATCTTATTGACTAGCGATCATGGTTTTAATTTATGTATTTTTTCTATTTATCATCTTGATACTGTTTTACCACCTTTTTGACTAGTGATTTTTGCTTAATTAATTAATTTTTTGTATTTCTTTATTTGTCATCTTGATGTACTGATGATGATCAAATATTGACCGAAACGTCTATGTCTTTATATAATAATTTTAAATATATGATTTTCGTTTTAACATCTATCGTTGTGGCTGTATGCTCCCTATTATTTATATTTAGAAATAAATTATTTAATACAAAACATGTTTTAATAATAATTTGGCGGAAGATGCGTTCCCAGTATGTTTTTGGTATAGGGACGCTCCTGATTCGGCCGCCGAACCTCGAACGGTGATGGGGGGTCGCTCGCCGGAATCAGCCCGAAATTTGCAAATCTTTGAGAGCATTGCTATAGACCTTTTAGTTCTCATGGAGCATCTGTCCACATTCCTGTGGATACCTCTATTACCATATTTGCATTCCTATGAATGTCCTACGTATATCCTACGCATTTGCTGCGCAAATCCTATAGATAAGTACATAAACTCCTACAGAATGTTACAGTCCTCTATAGGAACCCATGAAAAAACTCATGAGAATTTGCAGCAGGGTTGCTCTTTTATTATAGATAAATGGATGACATTCTCTTGACGTGTTTCAATTCATTATATGACCGTATACAATTCACTCTGAAGGTTGATGGAAACAGATTGAATTTTTTAGACGTAACTATTAGTGTGGATAAACAAGAGATCATATTTGACTGTTACAAAAAATCCAATCGTTGTCTGAAAGATACTTAAATTTTGATTCGCAACATCTTAAATGTCATAAAAGAGATGTGATTTACGGAATGATTGACAAAATTTTGTAGTTATGACATCCAAAATTTTATCAAAAAAATATGAAAAACGTGATTATGGTTTTATTGAAGAACAGTTGTATTCCATTTATATTTTATACAATTCACAAGAATAAAATACTTTTGCAACAAAGTCACTTTATAAAAGGAATGTAATAACGAATGCGTTTAACCAATATTTCATGATACCATATATAAAATCATTTTTAGAGGCATTCTTTCATATATTCAGGAGAATCAACGTAGAACCTGCCTTTTCCATTTCAAATACATTAAAAAAGTATACATCACGCGGGAAAATTTAAAACTTACGGCTATGATGTGGTATATAGGATATCATATCATGATTGTGATGCATCGTATATTTGGCAAACCAAGAGACAATTGAAAACGAGAGTTGCAGAACATTACAAAGATATTAACGAAAGAACGGATTTTCCATCTGTAATAACTGAATAAAGAGTGCGATTTCAATTGGGAAGAAGTCTAAATCTTTGACAATGAACCATTTTATAATAAAAGGTTAACTTCGGAGATGGCACATGTTAAGAGGCAGAGACATGGTTCAAATATGCAAAGTGATATTGAGTCCTTTCTAGAACCGTATCTGCCAATACTAAAATTATTGTCCCCCACCTAATGTTCTCTCTACCTTTCTATTTTCTTAGAGATTCCGTCACTTCTTTTTCCATTATTCTTATATTTTGTCGCTCGTTGTGTCGGTATCTGAAATTGCAAAATCAATTCTTTTAAGTGACAAATTCGTAACACCATTATCATTGTTATTTGCGAATCAATTATAATGGACAAACGAACACAAACAAGAACAGCAGGTCAGGCACACAAATTCAAAATTTATTATATATATTATCTTTAATAATGTTACTCTGAATTTTTAAAAGATCAATTTACCAAACATAGATGAAAACGAGAACTAGGTCACAAGATATCATGAATAATAAGTTGCTGTGCAACCAATTCATGAGAAGGAAACATAGAAATTATTGTCACTACACACTTAGAAAGAGCGAATTTTTAATTAAAGCGTGTAAGATTTGATGTATGATATAAGGTAGGGAGACGTAGTATGTAATGTAAGAATTATTTATATATTAACATTAAAAAGATCCTAATGTAAAGACAAAACATTTTTTAAATATTATATTTTACACATTAAATATTAGCAATTATGAATTAGCGGTGGCTCTTAGCTCTTTTCCTTATTTTTGATTAAATCTAGACCATATGTTTCCTAAGTTAAGAAATACTCATCAGTCAAAAAATACTGTACTGAACGCTCTGGAATATGTTATTACAAACATCAACTCTTGGTATCTAAATTGACGGACAAAGTAACAACAAACGAGAAGGCAGCATAAATTAGCTTCAAAGAAGTTGTAGACACTCTGAGTTCATCGCTAGAAGTTATGCAAAAGGTGTAGAGAACGTAGATACGACGGAAATATTACATTTCGCGCAAATTTGATATATTCTATACATTAACTTATTAACGCGTAAAAAGACAAATTTTTTTGCTTGATTTTAAGATAATTTTTAATATACTAAAACATGAATATTTCAACAAAACTTGGTATCTTAAGGTTTTGAGAGTCGCTCTTTATGACGACGTCGTCAGAATTTCATTTCGATCACATGGAAATATGGCGATCGGAACAAAAAAAAAGACGAAAAAATGGTCGATATTTTTTTAATGGTTGTTTTCGAACTGATAACAATTTTTTTAATTTTTGGCAATTACACATCGGTGGTCAAAATAGTTGTACTTTAAGACTCCATGATGAAATTTTTGATTCATCATGGCCGATTCAAAATGCCGAATAAAATTTTGAAAATTTGGTGTTTTTCGTACCTCATCAATTATGTCCACTCATTAAGTTATGTCCAACTTGTTAAATATACAACCATAGATCTATGATTTTAAGGTTTATATCTTTTACGTTCATCATTACGTTTTCAAAATGGCGAATTCAATATGGCGAATTATAAACTCGGAAAAACATTAATCTTTTTCTATTTTGTACACCATTTGAAACCCCATCTTCGAATTGTTGTCAATCTTAGAGTGTTAGGAGTGCGTAAAAATTTGTAATCATTCCAAAGATGGCGACTCAGCAACTCCCAAAATTCAATCTTTTTTTATTACTTCAAACTTATAAAATTAAAAACTGTTCGATGTCGTCATGTTTCTTATAAGATTTGTATTTTTGTTTTTAATTCTCTTTTTTGCTTCATTTGTACCATGTGAATTTGTACACAATAACTTTATTTTTTCTAAATAAAATTTAATGTTTTGTGATATTTATTGCAAATTCTTTAGTGCTAATTTTCCTCTCTCTATTAGTAGTTGCATTGAATAAAACAATAGAGTTTGCAATAGAAGATTGAATCAATCTTGTAAAAATTATCCATGTCCATTTCTTAGACCTAATACATGATGCTAAATTGTTACAATGCCCATCGTAAAGATCCACCCCACCCATTAATTTTTTATAAACATGGAAGACATTGTAACAATTTAGCATTGCGTATTAAATCTAAGAAATAGACATGGGTAGTTTTTACGAGATTGATTCAATCTTCTATTGTAAACTCTATTGTTTTATTCAATGCAACTACTAATAGAGAGAGAAAAATTAGCATAAAAGAATTTGCAATAAATATCACAAAACATTAAATATTTAGAAAAAATGAAGTTATTGCGTACAAATTCACATGGTACAAATGAAGCAAAAAAGAGAATTAAAAACAAAAACACAAATCTTATAAGAAACATGACGACATCGAACAGTTTTGTTTTGATTGAATCTTCTATTGTAAACTCTGTTGTTTTATTTAATGCAGCTGAAAAGTAGAGGTTTCAAGCTTTAAAATGCTTTTTTAAACATCTCAATACGATGATTTTTGACAAAATTATTCTATCTCGAAATTTGACTATTTTTATAGGATAGATATTTTTATAGAATAAGTGATCCTTAATTTTGTTGAATAGTGTAATAAAATTATTATTACTTTGTAAATATTCAATTAATCCATTTTGCTATAGTTTCTTGAAACAGTCGGAGGAATAAATTTGGATGCACCGTAATAGTGCTCGACGGTTTACTGTAAATCACTTTCTTCATTCAAATATTAAATGCCTTTAAGTAGATATTAATAAGTCACATGTTTTCATGATGAGATTCTTCTTTTATAAATTGTCATGTTTCAACATATTGACACTTCGATTACACTCACTTGATGGAACGAGGAATTTATTAACCGATTTATTAATTAATCACTGACAATCACAAATGATTGATTATTCGGCGATTGAAAATCATGAAGGAAAAAACACGTAAGTCCTTATAACACAACATGTATTTACATGGGACAAGCAGCAGACTGACTTTCTTGGTTATGGGTGCAGTGAGTGTATATATATTTCTTATATTTTTAGTGAAAAGAAAATAAGTGAAAAGGAAATAAACTACGAGAGAGAGAGAGAGAGAGGGGGGGCGAGAGGGAGGGAGGGGGAGAGAGAGAGAGAGAAGAGAGAGAGACAAAAGATGAAAATGAGGCAAGAAGGAGACGGAAGAGTTGGGAGGTGAGATGGAGCCATAGATATGTATAATATCTCTAGCCTGAACATTCGAGGAATAGGGATAGATTCATTAAGAAAAAGACGCACTCATGCTAACCCAGATGCGTTCTCTCTCGTTTTGCGCACGCACGAAAGAGAACGCACCTCTGCCGACCATAAGTGCGTTCTTTTTTAAATGAGGCCCCCCCTCCAAATTTCTGACAATGCTCGAGAGATACTATGTCTATGGATGGAGGCGAAATAGCGATAAAAGATAAGAGAGGAGACATAAAACAAAAAGAGAGAGAAAGAGAGAGAAAGAGAAGAAGAGAGGGAGAGAGAGAAAATTGTATGAGTTTCTTTACTTATAATTTATTTATTTTGTAATTTATTTCTTTATTTTTATTTTATTATCTTAATACTTTTATGTATTCTCTCTTACTCTTTAAACAAACGGCTTCCGAACAAATCAAATTTAAACAATGAAAGAGTATAAAAACCAACGCAAGGTGACAATACAATAAATATATTAAATTTACTTTACATATATCTTGATAAACGTTTTGATCCTATATCTGATCATTCTCAGTATCGCAAATCAAAAATATTAATCGCTATTCACAAAATTGTCTACAAAATATTTATAATAATATAAATGTCCATCACAAAATGATTCTTCTTTCTCTTTGTCTTATTATAATACATTCGAAAATTATTGTTACTTAAATTGAAATTCCACCAGCTTTACTGGATTCTCAAATTCTATATAAATTATATAAATAACAGTTTAAATTACGTGATGATCAATCAATAAAAATGATAACCATAAAGTATAAAAATTAAATATCATATTACGTCAACAGGATATAAATTTGAAAGTATATTAAATTACAAAAAAATAAAAATAAAAATCATATTGTATGTCAAAAAGATATAAATTTAAAAGTATATTGTGTTACGTCCAACGGACACCCACAATGGTTCTTTTTTTTCGTGGAGATCTGAAATTCGTTGAAATAAAGAGACAAGTGTGAATAACAAACAAATTGAGCATTGTAGCCTAGAGAAGACTAAAAATTTTCTTTTCTCACACTAAAAACTAAAACGAAGAATCCAGTATCTCTTCCGAGAAATGTCGCTCCGAGATAAATTAAAAATCGGTGCATGAGCGACGGATCAAAAGGACAGCGAGTTTGTGCCCATCGGATTTAACTGCGATTAAAATAATAATAAATATGTTATTAGAAGCGTAAGACCGATGCCAAGATACCTTTTAACGGTCAAGTCGCGGATGATTCTCATGAGTCCATACGGACATACTGGCACATCTGGCGTTAAAGTGTGCCCTCGTGGCACACTGACTCAGTTTGGGCCTTTTAAATTAAAAATACGTCCGACTCGTGTGTCCGTTTAGCGAAACACGAGTTGAGGTTTCCACTTAGTCTTCCATTCGACTCCCGGTTAGGAGCCTCAGGACGAAGCGAAGTGCCTCCCGATTTGCGTCGGTCCTTCCCCACAGCTCCTTTGCGGTCCGGAGTAGTATGTCCGATGAATACACCTAATATTCAAATAAATGAATAAAAAATGAATGAAAATACTCATTCAAATACACTTCTTTTATATTCAAGAAACGAATAGATACTTTTTCATTCCATTTGAGTGAATATTTTTTTAATATGATTACAAATATTTTCGTTTCGTATTCACTTTTACTCTGTATTATCTATATTATAGCTTGCAAGCCTGCAAGAGAAACAGAAATCTATAATATTGGCTACGATTGCCACCGCGCACTTCGTCCGCCATCTATACAATGGGCGTCCTTGTTTAACCTATAGATTAAACAAATATATTTTTGTTAGAAATAAATAATATCTTGGAATTTAATGTCCACGGATCATAATGAACGATGCGCCCAAGATATAACATGTTTATAACATTATCGTGACGTAATCGGAATTATATCGGAATATGTATAGCGTTCTATCAAATAGATATTTATAAATTAAAAATGTATTACTTTCTAAAATATTTGTCAAAATTTCTAAGTTTCCTTCATAAAATTTGAATATTACAATGACGAAAATAAATCAAATTCTTTTTTTTTACTTAAAGTTATTAAAGTGCCGGTTATAGTTAAGGGTAA